TAATTATAACACAAAGTATATAGTGTCATAGGAGAGGGAACAAGTAAAATCTACTATTTCAGAGAAGAAAAAGCTCTTTCAGTTGGCATGGATGACAGAACACTTTCTAGGAGAGGCAGAATTTGATCTGGGTCTTAAAAGACAGATAGGAAAAAATAATAAATGGATCTCATTTGGAAGGCTTTCAGATAACACTTGATAATCTCTAACTTATACTTATCTCTCCAAGGATAAGATGACTCTGCTTGACACTATCTAGAAAGCACAAAATTGGGTGAAGTGAGATGTTTCTCTCTTCCAGGATATGCCTTCCAACAAATCAGCAAGTGTAGGCTGATGGTTCAATGAGTCCCTGCCAATCCATCTGCTAAACAGACTTCATGGCAGTTGCTTTCCTTGGAAGGTGTTGAAAGGGAGTAATTTCAGAGAGGAAAACTTAACAAATGTTAGAACTTGACCTTCCTTGTTCCTTTCACGGGTAATCAGTATTTGGAGGTTAGGTGTCTGAATAACAAACCCAATGACTGGAGACTTCATGCCCATTCACTTAAAAGATTTGGCCCAGAAAGGGCAGGTTAGTTTTCCATACAAGGTACTTCGATTCTGTCATTGCACAATAACTTCTAGACTAGGATATTAGATTCATTCCATAGTGAAAGTTGCAAATGAAATAAGAGACCACGATAATAGCTTATGATGTCCACTAAGTCCTAAGGTAAGAAGTCCAAAGGTATTTCACTTAGGTCACCAACAAAACCAACTTTTAAAAAATACTTAACAACCTTGGACACAGTTCTAACTATTCTAACAGCCCAAATGATTAAAGACTTTGTGTCCTAGTCTCAGTGTCCTGAACCCTAAGTCTCCCTAACAGCAAATCACAAGATTCCTGGGCCTCCTCCAAAGTGTCTTTTCTTTAGCAACCTGAACTTGACAACCTCAATTTACTATTAGTGGGTTAAGTATAAAAAAAACTAAAAAAGGGAGCCCAGTAAATTTAATTGAAAGCAAAAGCAGTTGTCATTATCCAACATTAGAAAGCCAATTCCCTAAGCTATCCAGTAGCTCTTAACCTATATTTTTAGATCTGCTTGCATGAGCGGCTTTATTCCTACTCTCTTTAGCTGTTCCATTTTTTTTTCCTGTGCTATAAGAATGGAGAAATAAATAAAAAGGATCCTTCCTTCTGAAACTCAGCAATGACAAAATGTTGGGGGATGGCTCTTTCTGGGCAACGGCTTGAAGACTGTATTGAGTGTAGTTTAGATGCACTGAGCAAAGTGATAAACAGGCTCAGGAAAAAGTGCCCAGTACAGAAAGGAAAGTTAGGCACATAATATTTGTGTCTGTCTTTTCAATCACATTAACATACTTAGATAGCTATGTAATCATCCATAACAGCCTCCTTGAAAATACAGACTAGGGGCTATCACTTCACAGCACTGCAATAAAGATACATTTGATGCCTAACAATAATAATAGCTAATATTATATAATGCTTTGCATTATTTAAAGATTTCCAAAGCACTTTACACAGATTATCTCATTTGATCCTCAACAATAACCCTGTGATATAAGTGTTAGTATTATTTACACTTTATAGATGCCTATAAAGTTAGGCTATCATTTAAAGTTAAATACAATCTTTTTTTTTTTAAACTAGGGTTGCTAGAGATTGTCACCACTACCATATTCATGTCTAAATCACACTTAAAGCTGAGGAGAGTTGACTCAGAAAGGTGATTTCCTTCTCTAGTCCATTGTTTTTTTTTAATTTGACCCTCACTTGGATGACCCTTCTTTACCTGTAAAAATTACTACTTGTCCATTTATACTAAGTTCCTATAAACCTGGCCTTCCCATAAACTTCACTGACTCTAATTCAACAGTATACTCTTCTCTCCACTTCCCCTTCTACCCACACCAACCAATTCAAAACAGATTGATTCAATTAACACATATAATCATAATATTCTATCTGGAAGACTGGTGGGAGGCTCATTCACTGATGAGGTTTCATTCTCTTTTATGATTTGATAACACTGACTGCATCTAACCAGAAATAACCTATACATTTGTCATCTTAGTTTTTATTCTCCCTTTCCCAGGAGTGCAAATAATCCAAAGCCCAGAGCAAAAAAGGAACTCTTTTTTTTTTTTATGGCAGGACTGCCTCAAACGTTGGCATTGACTTTGTGTTACAAAGGTACGCATTTTTGAATAGTATTACTAGCTTGTTTTCTGCACCACAGGTTTTTGTGAGCTTTATTAGACATTAGACATAGAAGCTAATAAAGTTATGTTGATATGCCAATATAATCCTTCAGCAGTTTGTCTACAAATCTTCCACCTGAGCCTTTGTCCTCCCAATTTGATGCCAAAAATTAAAACAGTCTGACTGAGCAGTTCTCAGACATTTGCCTTTGCAAAGCATACAGGATCATAGGCAGAAATTTCAGAAAAACACTCACTGGGAGGAAAGTTATTCTACTCCCTCAGTGCCTTTAGCGCTATAAATGTTGCATCCTCTCATGCTCAGAGAGCACTAATTACCTCCACAAGGGGCCCCACAAACCAAGACTCCCCTAAGTTTTGTCTCTCTTAACAAGAGGGTCAGATTTGATGTATTTTACTTTTAGAGGCTATGGATTTTGTAAACAATTAAGAAAGAAAATGTATCTAGCAACTGTGCATGATGCATTGTACAGGAGAAGTAGCCACAGCAACAACCACTGCCCCAAGGCACTCTAAACATAAAAACATGAATGGTCACATGAGGAATCTGTAACTGCTTGAGAGAACATTAACAAAAACCCACCACACTAATCACTGGTCATCCATTTCTTAAAGATTAATCCATGCCATATGTTATTAATCGACAGAAATGCTGACGGCTCATGCTAAAAAAAAATACAAAACTGTCCAGATGAGCCAAACTTAACTAAATTGTTGTTATTATTATTATGGCTGCTACATCACAGATTTGCTGTGTCACTGCCCCTTCTACCAAAAGCATCCACACACACCCACACAAACCCACAGTGGGGATAGGCAAACTACATAAGACCAGGAGGTGAGATAGGGACCACATGTTTGTTCGGAAGGAGGTTTTATGCAGAGAACATGCTTCTCTGCAAAAAGGCAGATCAAGAATGTGTCCAGACTGCCCAGAGAGGTCATTAGGACTATGCTGTTTCATTTCCTAGTAACCCATCTTATACAACTGTGGGAGCAGCTGCAGGAGATCACAGAAGGTACAAGGCAAGACAGAGTCAATGCAGTCTGTCTTTCTTACTGCCTCGCTACAGTTTCTAGGTGGTGTAAAACAGCATTCTCCTCTGTGGCTGTGCATGCAGGACAGAGGAAAGCCATAGCTCAGAATGCTAATCTCCATAGCAAATGGCCCCCTTTTAAAGGCCTATGGAATGGGAATAAAATGTCACAGACGACAACATCCATGGTACAGTGGAATCCCACATCCCAGAAAATGTAGTTTCATCTCCAGTGGCTTGCCTCAGAGGTGGTTCTTCAAAGCAGACACCTTAAACAACTGCAAAGAAGAAAAACAGCAAGGCAATCTATCATTTGCCTTTAACCAAGTTTTTCTCAAAACCTAGACTCTCTGCTGCTTACTGACTTCCAAATAAGTAAGGGAGCAGAAACTGAAATAGAGTACCTCCAGATGAAAAGAAAAGGAAGCTATTAAACCCTGTTTATACCCTCTTTCGTCAACTGCTCCTCCCCAAACGACCTGGATGCCTTTGGGGCACCTGACTGCTTAAAGATATCAGGCTCCGTGTATTTGGAGCTAGGTCCTCTCCAGATCTCTAAATGGAAAGGGGAAAAGTGCTGCCATAACCTTTTCTCTTGTAGGCCTATAGCAGGAGATGGTGAGAAACTTTACTGCCAATAACCAAAAGAGAAGGAAAGGTTTTTGTCAAAGGGAGGAAAAATTCCAAGATGCTAGACGGCTGAGGAAAAGAGTTGGAAGGAGAAGAGTTGAAAGGGAAGGGGATAGGCTGCTTAAAGAGTTAAAACAGGGAGTAACCTGAAGCAGCTCCCCCCCAAACTGCCCATTTTTTGTGCACTCAAAACTTAATACGAAACAAAGCCTATTCAAAGCAAAGCGTCTCCCTGATCATTTGCTCCTTATTTCGGGTCAGCCACTCCTGACTTTCAGAGGGGCTATGCTTAGGGGTTGTCCTTTTCTTTTTCCCCTTGGCAAACAAGATGCAGACCACTCTTCCTCCGAGATGAGGAGGAACTAGCGGCAGGGGGCTTGGCCACAGCTGCGGAAAGGCCGAGACGGAATAACTTTGCTTCTCCCGGGTGGCCCCCATCCTCGCTTCCACAGCCACACGGGCCGCATCTTCCCCACTACAAAGCCAGCCAGTACCCAACGGGCCTGGGCGGGGACCCCATCAGTCAGTGCAAAGTGGTTAGAGGTACAGACCGCGGCATTTGCGGGTGCTGTCTGGGCTTTACGGGTGTTTAAAAAGAAAAAAGAGCTCCAGAGAACAGCCCCCCTCCTCCTTATGCCAGGGGGCCCCTCTCCCACCTTCCTTACACACACACACACACACACACACACACACACCCCGGGCGCACGATTCACAAGCTGCCTCCTTTTCTCCAGACAATGGGGGGAAGAGAGGCTCGCAGGAACAAGCTCGACTCCTTCAGTGAAAAGTGTCCAGGACTAAGAAGCCCAGGCAGTGCCACCCTGACCCATCCCTTGGGAGCCTAGGTCTGCGGCGAGATGGGTGCAGGGGCGGGGAAGGAGGACTAAGGGAGAGGTGGTAAAGAGATCGGAGAAGGTGGAAGGCAAGGAACCTCCCCCTGGCTCCCCTCCATTCCCCCCTTCAAAAAAAATTTTTTTTTCAAGGAAAGAGGAGGAAAGAAAGGGGCAGTACCGAAGGCGAAGAGGAACTGGCTCTGCTTCACCATAAGGTAAATGAGCATTGTTAAGTGTACAACATATTCGGCCGGTTCTTACTTACCAAGACGACAGCAAATCTCTCCTCCAGTTCACCTGGCTCGGGCATTGGCAGCTTCAAAGGCATGTTGTGCGCCCTGAAATCAGTTTGCTGAGAATCCATGCTCCCTGCATTCCCCATGGTGAGCCGCTTTTCGGAGCAGGGGGGGGAATTTCTCCTCCGGCCCCCCTTATAGTCCGTGGATGAGATCAGAAATGCACCGCACGAGCCCTCCCCTCTCTCTCTCGCCTTCTCCTTCTCTCTCTCCTTCTCTCTCTCTCTCTCTCTCTCTCTCTCTCTTTCTCTCTCTCTCTCTCTCTCTCTCTCTCCGTTATCCCCCCTCCTCTGCACCTCCCTATCCCACCTCCTCCGTCGCCCACCCGTAGACCCCCTCCTGCTTCAAGCCCCCCTTCCACCCGCCCGAGAGAGGAGAGAGGCGAATGTGCTGGTCGAAGAGCGAGGTCTCCCTCTAGCAGCGTTCAAAGTGGAGCCTGCCTCCTTCCACCTTCATGCTTTCGTCTGCGGTTCTCCCTCCTCCCGTGCACAACCCAGACCTCTTTTCTTCGGGAGGTATCGTTAAGGCGCCTGGATCCTCTCGGCATGGTGCACCATCCTCCACGCCCAAGCCCAACTAGCAAACCGCGGGAGCGAACGCACGCATGGCCCCGAGCGCGCGTGGTCCTCCTGTTCTTTCACACGCCCTCCCCACCTACACCGACCCCGGCTAATCAGTCCCCGGCTGTGGTTGCTGCTGCCGCCGTTGACACATTCACATCCGAGCCCCCCGGTCTGAAGATACCACAAAGATCCGCGAGCGACTGGGGAAACCAGACAAATGCAGCAGCAGCAGCACCTCGCTCCCAGCACAATGCCCCTTTTCTCCAAGGCTCCGCCCCCAGAGCCATTGACTCCGCCCCTCGCTCCAGGGAACGCTGGGACTCGTAGTTCCGCCCAGCTGCAGCCGCACGCGGTAACCACGCCCCCTATCGGGAAGCTGAACTCCTCTGCAAAGCCCGATTGAGCCCGCCGCTGGAGAGGCAATTTGCGCGAACTCCAGAGTTTCCCCTCCGATCTGTTCTTGTACCCGAGGAAATGATCTTTATATATTTAAGGACGTGTCTGCCCCGAGGCTGAAGCATCTGGAGAGCCTTCCTAACAAAAGGAATTAAGTACATAAGGCGGGGGCTGGACCAGATGATTTTGCGATGTAGCCTCCAGCTCTGTCTTTGTAGAGTTGTAAGTGGCTGCCTGAATGCCGCATTTGTTCTAGGAGCTTACACAGGTATATGAGACACAATCCTGGCTCTCTCTTATAATAGCAATGTATAGGGCTTTAAATTGTTCCTTGTCAAAGATAGCTAGCTACCTGTGCTCTTCTATGTTCTGTATGTTCTAGCACTTAATAGTATGTGTAAATTTAAAACTGACTGTTTTGTGTGAGACCCCACAAAACTGACAAACCTGTCAATGACACTATGTAACAACATAATTAAGGATATAGGGCATTAAGTTTTGGAAGCGATTTCTTCGTAACAACCCTGTGAAGTGGATAATGCTAGTAGTATCCCTGTTTCACGAATGATGAAACCAAGGTTCGTTGTTTACAAGTGACGATAGATATTGAACTTGAACACAGATCATCTGACTTTAAGGCCAATTGGCTCTTTCCCTCACACTGAGCTTTGGGTTTCACAATCTAAGACTACTAGGGGAGTACTGAGCCACTGAAATGTGTTGAAAATCAGAGGTCGGCCTTATCAACAGTCATTATAGTATGACTTCCTTCAGAAAAGTTTTATGATTTTATGTTTATGGTTGTATCCTCAGTGTCTTAGAAGAGAGTCTTACATAGAGTAGGTAGTTAATAAATACTTTTTTGGATCCTATTGGATTTAAGGCATTGACCCCAGGCGTTGAAATGAAAATGTTAAAAGTAAGGTAAAAGTAAGGCTTTAAACCTTACCGCTAGCTCATTTAGACTTCAGTTTGAAAAACTTTATCAAACCCTTTCTTGAAAGCAGATTTGATCAAGGGGCAGGAAAGAAAATGGATTTCACAAAAAAAAATGGGAAAAGGAGTACAGAGAAAAGAAGCTAAAAGCACCAAAGAAAAGTATTGTCTCTTCCAAGATTTGGCTTAGGATCTTCTTACTGAACATGTGTACATGTACAAACATCTAATTTTTTTTTTAAGCAACTGGGGTGAAGTGACTTGCCCAGCCTCACAAAGCTAGTAAGTATCTTGAGGCCACATTTGAACTCAAGTCGGACTCCAGGGCCAGGGCTCTCTATTCACTTCACTGCCTAGCTGCCCCCATCTAAGTCATTTAAAAAAATTTTTTTAAATAGCATTCACATTGTTTCCAAGTTCAAGGAAACCGCAATGTTAGGATGGCAAGTGAAAGAAGAATAGAATTCCTTATTTAGAGAATTGAGAGGAGGCAGAACAAGCAAAGTGAATTTTAAATTAGGGTCTTAGTTTAGATTGAATGAAACATTTTTGTGTTCAAAAACAAGGGCCCCAGATTTAGATCCTTCCCATTGCTAAACCCAAGTGTCCTATGACACATATTACTATATGTGTAAGTTTTAGATACATACACAGTGATTTGCAGGACAAGACTGCATTTGCCTAGGGATTCCTCCCTCAGTGGAATGGTAGGAATAATTTTCTGCAGTTGAGAAATCCTGGCTTGTTACATTTATGACTTTCTCTGGTGGTATTTCTGCCAGTGACCAGGGCTTTTTTTTTTCTCCTTAAAGTCTCATCACATTTATTCGCTCACACAAGCTCACTGCCAAGGACAAAGTGTGCAAATACATTTTTTACCAGTGAAAGTTCAAAGTCATTGACAGGTTTATGACCTTCAATAGTCAGTTTTGAAATTTACCAAATATTGTTAAGTGCTAGAACATGTAGAACATAGTAGAACACAGATTGCTATCTCTGAGAGGGAACATATTAAAATTTACATGAATACTAAAACTTGTGGGAATTCCTGAGATTGCAGGTAGTACAGTCACATTGGGAGAAGGGGGAGGGGAATATTCATACACACATACATAAATATACATGTATATACTCACGGACAGATATATAAGGGAGGGAGCAAAGTAGGTTACTTTAATGGCATTGATACATAGTAGCTTTCCCTCAATTAAAACCAAGCTACAAAGATTTTGCTAAGTATATTTTTTTGAGCGCTACATTATAACCTATAACCATGTCTACTATGCTGTAGATGTTGGTACAAAATGAGGAAAAACAAGAGTTTCCCAGAGGATCAGCTTTCTTAATAAGTCGTCCTTGTTGCCTGTGACAGCCACAGAAACTGAAATGCTGAATCATTTGCCTAACCACCTCTTTGACCTCCAATGAACTATGCCAGAGGAAGCGAGCTTGGAGACCTACAAAATAGTGTAGCTGCTTTCAAAGAAATTCTTCCTTCATGCCTAATAAATGTTTCCACAACAAGATCAGCCTCTTGAGGTATTTAGACTCTCTTCAACTTTTAATATAAGGAAATACTGTCCATCTTTTATCAAGACGGAGCAGCTTTCTGGTGAGGCAAAGGAATAACTCTCTGAGATTTTAACTTGGTATGTTTGTGCACCAAAATAGATATGAGCACATAACAGATCATAAGCTGGACCCAGAACATTGTGTGTAATCTGTATTTGGAAAAGTGTAAAGTACCTTCAGTTATCCCAAACTGCTCCTTGACACAAAAATCCATCTCTTTACCACCGGTATTGTCCACCAGGTAAAGCTGAATGGCAGCAAATTATGGGACCTCATGACCACAGAGGAATTAAAATTGTAAATGACTCAAAGGACAATGGAAAGATGGATGGTGGACATGAGAATTGTAGCTAACAATTTTTACACTAAGGGCAAGCATCAGGAAACATTTCCTCAACTCAACTTTATAAAATAAATTTAATTTCAAGGGAGGGAAGAGCAGAGGGGCCAGGTTGGAGAGGATCCCCTGGGGTGTGGCCACTGGGGCCAGAGGAGGAAGCCCACCATCTAGTAGCTTCCCGTTTCAACAAGTTGTTTTTTCCCAAAATTTAAATTTGCTATTTTTTTCTGATTAATAAGCATTTATTTTTCTCTCCCACTCTCCTTAAGTAACTTAAAAAAGAAAAAGAAAACCTATAATAAATATGCATAGTCAAACAAAATCAATTCCCACATTGGCCTTGTCCAAAAATGCATGTCTTGTCCTACATTTTAAGTTTGTCAGCTCTCTGGCAGAAAATGGGATGCATGATTCATCTTCAGTACTCTGGAATCATGGATTGTAATGGTATTGATCAGAATTCTAAAGTCTTTCAAAGCTGTTTTTCTTTAATGTTGTCATTGTTTTCCTGGTTCCATCCACTTCACTCTGCAGTAGTTCATACAGAACTTCCCATTTCCTCTAGAGCTGTCCATTTCATCATTTCTTATGGTGCAATAATATTCCGTTATTATTCATATATCATATTTTTTTCAGCCATTCCCTAATAGGCAAATATCTCTTAGTCTTCAGCAGTTTGCTATTATGAAAAGGCTGCTACAAATATTTTATACAAATGGGTCCTTTCCATTCCTTCTTTGATCTCTTTAGGGATATATGCTTAGTTGGGATATCACTGGATCAAAGTTTATGAATAGTTGATTAATTCATTATTCTTGCTAACTAGGTGCTAAAATCACTTGTTTTCAAATGCCTAAAATACAGAATCACCCTTGGAATCGCCCTTTAAATTTCAGCTTTCCCAGTCAACCCACCTCTCTCATCTATATAGCAGGGTATGTAGCATTTTGCTAATAGTGACAATGCTTAGAAAAACTTTGAGGTGTAAAGTGATTTGATCAAGGTCATATAGCCAGTCACTTTCATTTATGACATGGGCAAGGCTATTTATGATAGGATAATAGGGTCATAGATTTTGAAGTACAAAGGACCTTCGAGATCTGGTCAAATCCCCTCATTTTATAGATGAGGAAACTGAAACCCAAAGAACTTAACCGACTAGCCTAAGGTCACACTGGTAATAGGCTGCAGAGCTGAGATTCAAACCCAGTTCCTCTGATAGTCACATAGGATGAGAGATGACAGACAGTCAAACTGATAGGCTGGTATCAAGTTACAAAAAGGTCAAGAAGAAAACCTCCAGGATTCCGACTAGATCCTCTCTGGAGGTTTTATGGTAAAACAATGGGCACCTGTTACAAAAGATGAAAAGGTATGGTGGAGTTAATGTCTACATCTTCTTCCTGCATCCCTATGGTGG